GGAGCACAGGCCCTGTCTTCATGTCATTCCTTCTTTGCCGACTCCATCCACACCTTTGGGGACCCCTGGACCTGCTGGGGCTGGACCCCAGCAATCCCTGTGGGCAGTCAGACATCCCCTGAGGGGTCCGAGATTGCAAGAGGGGGTAGGGCAGGCTGAGGGGACCCTCCACCTCCGTGCACAAATTTCGTGCACCAGGCCTCTAGTATTGTAATAACTATGCATGGTGTCAAGTGGGTACTAGACTTATCTGGGAGATCACTTTGTAAGACATATAAATGTATAACCACTATGCTGTACATCTGACACTAATATTGAGTATCAACTGTCGTTATAAAATAAAAGTAAACATACACATATGTGTAAAAACTATTTGAATATCCTCAAAAACATTTTAGAATTTTATATATCTTACAGTTTAGAAATGTAGGTTTAGGAGAAATGTGGATTCAACTAATACAACCTTTAGAGTTGATTAAATAAATATAATCTCACATGCTATCTAGACATGAGGATAAACTGCCACTGACAGAACCTAAATCTATATCATCAATTAGAATATTATTTAAAATAGTTGCTTGTGCACCACTACAGAATCCATTTCTCTTTCTCTCGTCACCCCCTTTTTCTTCACTCAATTTCTGAGGGTAAATCCCAAGCATCTGTTTTGGGATGGAGACTGGGAGAGCCAAGCATGATAGAAAATAGAAAAAACACTTAAGATTGTGATGCCTAACCTTAAAGGAAGTTGAATTTAGATACATAAAATGGAGTCCATCACCATATAATAACATTTCTAACAACAGGATTTGCCTTAAATCAGATGCTTAAAACAGAAAAAGAAACTTGAAAATTATCCAGCAGAGGAGTAAATTATGGGTTAATGGCACTTAGCCTACCTTAAAAAGAAGTTACCTAGTCATTTAATTACCACCTAGGTTGAGTTTTTTGTATTGGTAACAACACAAAGTAATTTTAACTTAAATTTAGGTCCCTAACTATAGCTTGAAACGCCTTCACACCATGATATAAAACTGGACAAAAGGACATTGTGTGTGCACAGAGAAGACTGGTTGAAAGTTAGTTTTTCTAGAAAACTGGCCCATATATTTTGCAAAGCTAGACAAACTGTATGAACAAGTTAATGTATTACTTCAAGCTCTAAATAATCAATAAAATGTTCACAAATAATTTTCTCTAATAGCTATTTAATTTCTAATAAAATATAATTAAGAAAAAATATTAAACTATAATTTAGCCAAAAAAAGGCAGCTAAAAACTCCTAATTCATTTTTTTAATATATTTTTATTGATTTCAGAGAGGAAAGAAGGACAGACTGAAACATCAATGAGAGAGAATCACTGATTGGCTGCCTCCTGAATACACCCTCCTGGGGATCAAGCCTGAAAACCAGGCATGTGACCTGACCTCCTGATTCATAGGTTAATGCTCAACCACTGAAGCACACCAGTCGGGTGCCCCTAATTCTTGATAGGCATAAAAATTATTCTGACAATCTAAAGGACATCAAAATGACCCTGGTAATTACTGCAATGATTTATTATTTTTATAAGTATGTGTTGTGGATTTCCAAAAATGGATCAGAAGGATCTTTAGATTGCAGTCGTAATATTTTTTAAACTGATATATAACTGCCTGGATATATAAAAAGTTTGTTAGTAAAAAGAAATTATATACCTTTAATATAATGATTCTTTTATTTCAAAAAACTGTTAACACTTAGCATCCTAAAATTGATGCAATCCTTTAAAAAATTTTTATTGATTTTTAGAGAGAGGAAGGGAGAAAGAAACATTGTTTTGTTGTTTCGCTTAATTATGCATTCACTGAGTCTTATATGTGCTCTGACCAGGGATCAAACCCGCAACCTTGGCATATCGTGACAATGCTCTAACCAACTGAGCTACCTGGCCAGAGCTTAAACTGATACTATCTTATGAGAGAGAAAGTAAGGTAAACATGAAAAAGATTAAGTACATGAATGCATCTCTATTGATAATAAAACCACTTAAGAGTTGGAATTTAAACTCAATCACTTCAATCATGAAATACAAAGATAAGACCACCCCATGTTTTTCCTAACATAAGGTACATGACCGGGAAGTTATTATTAAAGCAATATCTTTTGTTCATTAGATCCCACATAAAAATGGGTTATTTCACTTAGCATAATACTCTCCAAGTCCATCCATGGTGTTGCAAAAGGTAAGATTTCCTTCTTATTACTACTGTGTAGTATTCCATTGTGTAAATGTACCACAGCTTTATACCCACTCATCTAACTCAGCGATTTTCAACTTTTTTCATCTCATGGCTCACATAAACTATCATAATAGGTATAATTTTGATTCATTTACACTGGATGGCTATTCTTTTTTGTTTTTTAATCTGGCAATCTAAGGGAAAAGAAGTAAGTGCCCCTAACTAAATAGTCAGGTGTTGCATGTTTTAAAAATTCTTTGGCACACCTGTGTGCTGTGGCACACTGTTGAAAATCACTGATCTGATGGGCACAGCATGTGGGCTGCATCCAAATCTTGGCTACTGTAAATAATACTGCAATGAACATAGGGATGCATATACTTTCTTTTGAATTAGTGTTTCAGTTTTCTTCAGATATATACCCAGAAGTGGAATCACTGGGTCATAAGGCAGGCAGTTCTATCTTTAATTTTTTGAGGTAATCTTTAATGTTTTGAAAGTTAGTATTTTCAATAGGCAGGGCAGAGGGAGTGGCAAGGAAGTCTTTTTTTCTTGTGAATTTTCATTTTCATAATTTCACACTTCTAAAAAGTAGCAAAAAATAATACACAGAGTTCCTTTGCCAAACTTCCCCAACTGCTGTTATTGCTTTTGCTACCACTAAGACCCAACATTTATTCAGGTTAGTTATTTGCCAGGCACTGTAATTAATACACAGATTATCTCATCTGATTCACATAATGCTCTAACGTGAAGATTAACATCTTCATTTTTGAGAAAACTAAAAGACCAAAAAGGTTAAGCTGCAGGTCACAGCTAGCAAATGGAAGAGGAGGGATTTGAACCAAAGGCTATCTGATCCCAAAGTTTGTGTTCTCACCCACTAAGCCAGTGGTTCTGAACCTTCCTAATGCCGTGACCTTTTAATACAGTTCCTCATGTTGTGGTGACCCCCAACCATATTATTTTCGTTGCTACTTCATAACTGTAATTCTGCTACTGTTATGAATCTTAATGTAAATATCTGATATGCAGGATGTATTTAGGCGACCCCTGTGGAAGGGTCGTTTGACCCGCAAAGGGGTCACGACCCACAGGTTGAGAACCGCTGCATCTTGCCCAATTTTAGCACTTAATCATTTATTGCTTTAACCTAGTATCTTATTCCAAGTATAGGTCTTGCATCCAAAAAGAAATTTTAAATAATAAGGATTTCACTTAAGCAAAAAAAACATCCTATTTAACACTTTTCTTATTCTTACTCCAAGTTAAGACATTTCCTCTTAGTAAGAAACAGTTCCTTCTGAAACTAATGAAAAGCTTGTGACCTGTTTTAGGCAAATCTTCATCGATGCATCATTTCTAAGTTTTTTCCCCCCTTTCTTTGAAGCTACTGCTTGCTTTAATCCACATGTAAAGATAGGACTTTATGCTTATTAGGTACACCTACTGATAGGCTTAGTAAAGCACAGAAGATAAACATGCCATTTTACATTTAATAACATTTTCTAGTTTTAAAACATACATAAGTATAAATTTATTTCCTTACATTGAAAATAAAATATGAAAATAAATCTGTAAGAAAATCAATGCAATAGTCTGCTTACCTTGCGAGCAAAATCCCCCTTCCCTTTACTGTAGGCTTTATTCTCAAGGAAGTCATACACATAGTGAGCCAAAACTGGGGATGCTCTCATCATCTCAGGAGTTAACAGTAACTAACAGAAAAAAAGGGTAAAAATTTTAATTTTACTTTTAAAAAACAATTAGGCAGTTAAAGTCATCAATAATTCTATGATTATTAACATTAGGATATATACTATTCTCTCCATCTGCTATTTTGACTTTCAGTGCATCTAATATGAAAGTTGACCAAATATATTTACTATTCCATTTTCAGGTTTTACAGATAACCCTAAAATCCACATTAGTAAATTATTATGTTATTCACATACTAAGTTCAAATTTAACATTAATAGAAAGTACATTAAAAAATCCAGGCAAAAACTTTTAAATGTTACCAAAAAAATACTGTTTTCACCAACAATATTTCATGATATAACCTATCACTCTAGCTTAATTCCTTCAATGAAACACGTTTTGACATACTAAGTTCATTAGCTATATTAAAATGAAAATCTATGGGCAAAAATGAACATAAACTTACCTGCAAATATGCATTAAGATCCTTTTTTCTCTTTTCTAAAAAATCCCTATCCATATTATTAAAAGTCTTTTTCCCAGGAAGCTTCAATATACTTGACAGATTTTCAAACTGGAAGATAAAATACATTCAATAATCTTAATTTTTTAATAAAAGAGAAAAGCATTTTCCTAGTAACAATTTCTCTACATATTAAAAGCATCTTGAAACAGATCATTTTGCAATGTATTAAGCAAAAATCAGAAAATAGAAAATTATTTTCCAAATATGTCCAAATCATAGTTCTTTTTAAAATTTATTTTAGTTTTCTCATCACCATTTATCCCCTCTATTCCTTCGTCCACTTCTACCCATCCCCTATCACCCTCACAACCATCACACTGTTGTTGTCCATGAGTTCCCTCTTTTTTTCTTTTTTGCACAATCCCTCCACTCTCCCATCCCACCCCCATTCTCCCAGAGCTGTCTGCCTGGTCTCTAGTATGAGTCTGTCTCCATTTTGCTTGGAAATTTCTTAAATTCCACATATGAGTGAAATCATATGGTACTTGTCTTTCTCTGACTGGCTTATTTCACTTAGCATAATGTCCTCCAGGTCCATCCACACTGTTGCAAAGGCAAACCACAGTTCTAATGTTATATATTATAAAGTAATTTCAATAAAGAATGACAAATATGGACACCTGATGAAGATGGGCAATTTTCACATGGGGTGTCATTTTAATACTTTCTCTAATTTTGAAATTGTTCAAATTTTTATAATAAAAAGTTTTAAAAATATTATCTATAATAATCTTTTGACTTGTAAATAAAGTATTAGCAAATAAGTTTTTAGTGATCAAAGTTATGTGTTTCTGGCTTGTTAAAAAATCTTATAAAGAAATATTTTTATATTGATGACTTCAAATAAATTAATTCTTGTAATGGCTAATTATTAAGAGGAGAAAAGGAAATTTTTAAATATAGCTTACAGCTGTATTACAATTCTGTAATGGAGTGCTACACTGATACTTTCCCTCCAACCACATGAAAAGTAAAGTGCTAGACTATTGAACACTTGGGTGCACCTTCAAAGCCCCAGCTACGCAGTACGCTGCTGTGCCTCACTGAAGCAGTTTTAACCACACTAGCTACTAACAAACATTTTAAGATGGAAGTCATTTATCTAGTGATTGTACCTGGCCAACAGCCTAGCACCTGAAACTTCAAGCAGCCTCATTGCTTTTCCCATGTGATACATATTCTGAAGTGAAACCATTTTCTAAAACCAGTCTATGTTCAAAAACTCATTCATTTCTGGAGCAGAGATTAAAGAGAAGAGGAATGAAAAGGTATAGGATAATTTTCATCCACAAACTGGAAGACTCTGATAAATTATTAAATGGAATAGCAAATCAGATGGTTGCTTGGAGCTATTATGTGAACAAGTTGATTGTATGTTACACATGAAAGTGAAAAGCAGTTATTTTACTCCAGGCAAGGTAGGGGGGGAAATGGAAAGGCAATTTACAGGGGAGAAGTTATGCTGTAGTAATATTCATAAATTTGGCGATTCACAAAACTATTAGAATATGTCCTTCTTGGATATCAAATGGCCAATGGATTAAATTTTTTAATCACACCTAATAGATGTAAATTAAAATTTTCAAGGAGTCCTAAAATATTTCATTTCCTGGAATATTACCTACATTATCTTAAACTATGGACTCAATTTTACAGAACGCAGTTTACTCTAGCATTACCAATATGGTATGGACTGAATTGTAGTTCCCCAACATGAAGCCCTAACCTCCAGTGGGTAAGAATGTGACTGTGTGAAGAAAGAGCCTTTAGAGAGGTGATAAAATTAAAACAAGTTATTAGGGCGGGTCCTTATCTAATCTGGCTGTTGTGCTTCTAAGAGGATGAAATCTGGACCTACAAAATGCACCAGGAATGAGAGCCCACAAAGAAGAGGCCATGTGAGGACACAATGAGAAGGGCAGTCACTGAAAGCCAAAAAGAGGCGCCTCAGGGATAAATAAGCCCAAAACTGAGATCTGGCCTTCCATGAGAAAATAAGTGTCTGGTGTTTAAGCCACCCATATTGTAGTATTTCATTAGGATGAAATACACCACGGGAATATCACAGTATCCAAGAAAACAATTTATTTCAGAAACTTTAAAATATTAAACATTAATAAAAAGAAGAAAATAAATGTTACAATAACAGTTATTTTCTCAAAGTCTAAATTATCAAACTCCTTTTAAAATTATCTGTCTGGAACAGAGGCACTGATGATTAATAGCTTTTTAAAGTATTATTATTATAAAAGGAAAAAATGGGAAAATTTTATACTTCATATTAACTTATTATAAACTTGGTATTTGAAAAACTATAAGTACAAGGTAGACCATTCCTGAAAAGTAATATATTCTATGCCAAAAATTCATAAAATATTTTTAAAGGCATGTAAAAGAAATTGGAAATTTACCTAAAGAACTCACAATAATAATAAAAAGTATTAAAATGCTCACAAAAAACTCAAACACTATATGTAAATCATAGACATTCCAAAATCAAATATTTTATTTTTCTACATCGAATATGTCAGGTTTAGATTCCAGACACATCACCGGAAAATTTAAAAAACATTCTTGCAATTTTATATCAGGATTCAAAATGTGTTTATATCCAGGCACAAAAATACATTCACTCAGTTACTTTAATGCACACTTAATATCTTTTAAATCACTACTTTTATCTGTACTTAGTTACAGTTCACCCAATGAAAAAGACATGCATAGTATCTACTGGAATATAAACTCCTAGAGGCAAGGACCTGTCTTGTTCACAATTATATCTGCAGCATTGACAACTGTGCCAGGCATATAAGAAAAGCTCAAAAAATATTTGTTAAATGAATGGGGAGTTCAGCCCATTTCTAAAATAATATGACATTTAACATTTCAATTATTTCCTTTTATTTTTATACATCTTTATTCATAAAGATGTACTCAACATGAACAGAAAAAGTAAACATGTCCTAAGTTATTAATTTCATCTAAATATAATTCAAAATAGTCTTTTTAATATGGGCTTCTGGAGTCAACACTAACCTGTTTTTAATCATTTTTAAGTTATTAGTAATTTATCTCACTCTCATTAAAAAAGTATTTTAATGAGATTACCAATGCCAACCATTTTCCCTCTACTCTCTTAAATGAAAAAGGCATTTTCTGATTACTAAACTAGTACAATGTCATTTCAAAGCTTTAGTCCACCCAATCAAAATGTCACCATTAATTAGTATAATTTGTATTGGCTTAATACCAGTTGTATATTTATAAGCCTTGAATGAAATCAAAGACTCTCAAGAGTTAAAATAAATTTCATAGATCACCTACTCCATTCATCTGGTGATAGTTTATTTTCTTCTAAATTAAGGATAAGAAAAAAATATTTAATATAAAGTAGAACAGAAATAATTTATGTTTGTTATCTTTAAGAGTCCTTATATTTCTATAAAACAAGAGGGTTGTATTTAATACAAATTTGGTTAATGTTAAATTTAATTTAGGTTATGGTTCTTAAAATAATGTAATGGATCAATGATTTAACTGTTAAACTATTAAAATAAGGATGTCATCTAAAATGATTATAGCTGCCCTAGCCGGTTTGGCTCGGTGGATAGAGCGTCAGCCTGCGGACTGAAGGGTCCCAGGTTCGATTCTGATTAAGGGCATGTACCTTGGTTGCAGGCACATCCCCAGTAGGGGGTGTGCAGGAGGCAGCTGATCAACGTTTCTCTCTCATCTATGTTTCTAACTCTCTATCTCTCTCCCTTCCTCTCTGTAAAAAATCAATAAAGCATATTTTTAAAAAAACCAAGATTAAAGGGGTGTGAAAAGCGATTTAAAAAAAAATAAAATAAAATGACTATAGCTCTGAAAATTAAAAAAATATTCTATAGTGATCTCCTTCCTTACTTTAAACCAAGCCCAAATACACACACACACACACACACACACGACTCAAAATGAGAAATATACACTCATTTTAATTTCCCAAGGTATACCATGAATATTCTGTCTAGTCCACAGTGGTTATGATTAAAGTCTGATTTATTGGTTAAATGTTCAAAATCATTCTAACATTTATACTGATTATACACAAATTCTTACTTTGTTTTCTTTCATTGGCTTTGGTCAATACCGTAACATCCTCAGAACTATTTAGAATTAAACACTGACTCAGGAAACAATTTAAAGCACACACTTTAAAACCTCATTACCTGTTCAGTGATTCTCATGTGGAAGTCATGGAAGTCACTGTAACGACGATAGGTTTTCCACATCTCCTCACTGTTTAGATTGCGTCGGTGCACAGTGATGGCATACAATGCATATGTCTTGCCATGATCATTACAAACGCCTGCCACAGCATATGGGTCATAGTCAGCATATACTAGTCATTTAAAACAAAATGAAGAGGAACAAAAGACACAAAAAAAAGGAGGAAGATGAAGAACAAAAACAAAAAGGACAACATGAAATGAAGAATTTGAAATGACAGACTGAGACAAAAGGATGTCACCAGGGGATAAAATAGAATCCCATCATCTGTACTCGCACCCATAAGGTATTATATATGACTAGAGGCCTGGTGCACGATATCTGTGCACGGGTGGGGTCCCTAGGCCTGGCTGGTGATCAGGGCCTATCGGGGCCATCTCTCCCAGTCCGATCGGGGCTGGGCCAGCCGGGGCCTGCTGGCTGTTGGACAGGGCCTGGGGGCCTACCAGCTGCTGGATGGGGCCTGGAGGCCTGCCAGACAGGGCCTGCCACTTGGAACCTGCGGGATGGGGTGAGGGACTGTGGGAGGTTGGCTGTGGAAGCATACTGACCACCAGGGCACAGCTCCAGCATTGAGTGTCTGCCCCCTGGTGGTCAGTGTGCATCATAGCAACTGGTTGATTGGTCGTTCCAGTCATAATGGTCACTTAAGGCTTTTATATATATATAGATGGCTACACAGCAAAGCAAGCTACAAGTTTATGATGACATGACCAACCATGACCAACCACACAGTAATGTCTACTTTGAACAATCTCCCCAAGGACTTCTACCTATATTATAGTTAGGATACCACAATACAACTTCACAGCATAGCATTAGAGCCTGAAATTTAATAGAGGAAAAATAACAGAAACAAAATAATAACCTTTTGTACTAGCCTTCACTATTTAGTTATATTTCAATTAAAATCTCAGCTAAACAGAAAGCAAAAGCAATGGAATAAGACTTATCTGCTATTTTGGCAACTCATTTCTAATCAACAATTCACAAGTGTACTTATTTTGGAGACTTTTTAAAGGCATTTTACTACTAATTTCCAACAAACTATCCAAGTCCAGCAGTCTTTAAAATCAAAACCTGTTCACATTTTGTACTAATCTTATGAAAAGAGATGCCCTTTCAATCCTTTTCTTTGTATTTCCTAGTTTCCACTTTCTTATTTCTCTGCATTGTATGCTCTTCTAGATTATTTCTTGAGGTCTCCAAAAAGTTTACTGAGTCTCTCCTCATCTGTATTTAGTCTTAGTCCATCCATTGACCTTAATTCCAATCACTATATTTTAATTTCTATAATTTACTTCGTTCTTATTTCATCATGTTGTATTCTTATCTCTACGAATATTTTATACATACTCTCAGGCTAGGAGATGCTGTGGCACACAATCACTTGAGGATAGATGAATCTAGACTTACCTATGTTGGGATATAAAATATAATTTGACAAAATATAAAACTGGAGAAAGGCTGGTTATGTTGCTCTCGGGAGCTTAAACTGTA